TGTTTTTCAAAAGAGTAATTCAGATTTCATTTCGCTATAGTATCTGTATTATATTGATGCGTTTAATGATATATTCACATAAATTTAGTGTTTTATTATAATGGATTTTTTTTTTTTGAAAAAATATTGATAAAGATTATTTCGTAACTAAGGCAAAGCTAATTATTAAGATTGCTTTCTGAGTTTTTAAAAAGATCCAAAGTCTTTTTTTTTTAAATAGCTATTTTTAACATCTTAATTTTACACTTTTACTGTTATTTACAACTAAATAGTGCTACCTGCTAGGGATGAACCGGGTACGTATAAGTTGATTTACGTTTATGCTATAAAGAACAAATGAATAAAATTGACCATCGGCTGCTTTAAATTAAGTTTTTACTAGAGGATTTGTTTCTTCCTCTGTAGCTCAATAAATTCAATATCAAACAGTATGGATAAATTTCTCTTACCGTCGGGCTAACCATCTGAAGTTTTCAAAGGAGTTTTCTCCGTTTAGAGCAAATACGCATTATTTTATCAGAAAGATTTTTTTATGAAAGCAAATTTGCCCCTTGTTTGTTGTTTGATCTAGGAGTAACTTTAATCCTTTGGAGTTTCGAAATTAATATACGTAGATACTCATAAGACAAGGATAATGTCTGCTCCGGTGAATAAAGGTTCAGAAAAAAAACGCGACTTATTCTTTAAATCCCATTTATTCAGCAAAAGATAAAGAACGAATAAAGATGGTGTACGTATGATACCATTGATAAAAGCTACGATTTAAATTAATTACGAAGTCCACTATTAGCAACTGTTTACATTACGCAGTGAAGTTTCGCTTTAATCATTGTTCGTCCGAACAATCATTCCAAAATTTTTGTAGAAACATTTTAAAGTCAGTTTAAAAAAAAATCTGATTAAAAACAAACTTTTTAATTTTTAATAGGCGTGCAATGAATTCCATTTAAGCGATATCTCTTGCAAAATATTTGTTCAATAGAAAAGTATACGTTTCTTATATTGTTTTGCATAAATGTTATAATGCGTCCCGCAATGGCTCAGAGGATAGAGCGTTCGCCATCCAATGAGGCGAACCGGGTTCGAATCCTGGTCGATACGAATTCCGCATCCGGCTTGCACCGACCACAGTGCTGACGCGAAATATCCTCAGTGGTAGACGGATCATGGGTTAGAGTCCCCTTGCCGTCAGGCTAACCGTGGGAGTTCTCGTGATCTTACTCTCCATGTAAAGCAAATGCGGGTTAGCTCCACTAAAAAGTCCTCCGCGAAGGTAAATTTCTCCCAATACTCGATCCAGGAGTTCCATTGTCTTCTGGATTGGGTTCAAAGTTACAAGGCTACGGACTTGAACATTAATAGTCGTAAGCCCATAAAATTGGGACGGCTGTTCAACGACGATTATAAAAAAAAAAAATTTAAAAAATTTGATACCCTGGGTTCCCGGAACTGGCCGAGTACTATTCACAAATTTTACTGGGTTCACGGAATAGACCGGGTAACATATGAAACTTTTGCCGGGTACCCGGGACCGGCTTGCATCCAGACCTACCACTTTTTATTAGAAGTGCATTTTAACGCCGGAAAACGCCATAATAAGCTATTTTGGATATGTTCTTATACCCCGGATGCCCCCGCTAGGGGGCGGGACGGGGCTGAGCTTTGAAATATGTTCTTATACCATAAAAATCATTACGTCAAACTTTTTATGCTATTTTATATCATAAAAATATTAAACTCCGTACTGCTTCTCATAAAAATAATCAAATTTTTTAAACAAAATTTAATAATTTCATATGAGCATTTAAATGTAGCTCGTTGTAGTCAAAAGCAAGATAAATTTTTTTTTAATTCTTACTGTAAGGTGTCCATATGGTGGTATGTTTCCTTTTAAATTTGAATTTTAAGATTTGACATGTTTTTGGCTGATAAATGATTAACTATTTAAAGTCAATAAATAGGCTGTGTACTGAAAACTAGCATTTTTATTTACAAAAATTATAAAATATACATTGTAACATTTTCATTGTACCTGATGTTTAAAACATCTCCAGATGTTTAATTTGGAAAACGTTGAATTTTGCAAAAATAATTATTTATAGATATAAAAATAATAATTATTACGAAGGAATTCATTTTTTTCCTTCTATTTATAGTAATATCTATAAGAAGATAGAGTAAAAAGAGTTCATGATAGAAGAAGCTCTAAAAAAGAATTATTTTAATGAATTCTAGGGTTACTATTTTTGAGAAGTGGGGGTATCCACCATAGAGTATCCACTATTTCAACTCTATGGTATCCACATCTGAAAATTGTTGTTTTGAGAAAAACTCGTCTAAACTTTTTAGTTACGTGGTTATGTAAAGCAAGCTTACATAACCACGTTAATAGTACTGAGTTAAAAATTTGATAAGTGCTTAGATGTTGCTTGGATAAAAGTTTCAAATTATTCTTAAATCATTCAAAATTTTTAGTTCCTCTATGTAAAGTTCTCATGTATTCAATTAATATATATGTATTGAATAAATTTATTTTTTTAGCATGAAAAATTAGCTTATTAAAATTGCCTTAAGAGGTTTAATTTTTCTCTCGAAACTTTATAAAAGCATACTTGATTTGTTTTCAGCACAGAATGCTATCAAACTATACTTTCATAATTCTTGTGATGATTGAAAAATATCAATAATTACGACAAAAATGCTGAAACTAACCGATAGGTCACGAATAATTGGTTTCATCGAAAACTAAATGATTTAGATACTTTAACAAAGCAATCAAGAATTGAACATAATTCCAACCTATTACAAGAGCTCAACTCATTAATAAAAACGAAATAAACCACCAATTTGTTATAACGTATTGTTCGAGAATGTTCATAATCAGAAATAACAATGAGTAAGGAAACTTTTCTCATTTAAATTGTCTATTAATCTGCTTTTTATTTTACACAACAATGACTTTACAGGTGTAGTATGTTAAACAAATCAATATTTGAAACGTAATAGAATATTTTTTTAATTAAAATATTTATTTCTCAATTACATAAAATGTTTTTAAGACAAATTACATCTTTGTGCCATATTTTAAAAGGTAGTAATTTAAATCGATTGTTTTCGCTTTGGCCACGAATAAGTGTTTAATATTTACTTAGTTCGAAGAACAATTGAATCAATTTAAAAAGATATATATTTTAATACTTTCATTTTCCATATTGAGTCAGTTCCCCAACACGGAGATTTTGGAGCCCGGTGCAGTTCGGAAACTGAATAGTTTAGATAGCTGAGATATTCTATCCTTCTCTTTATGTTATAAATAAACGATATTGTATAGAATTCAAATGTTTTGCAAACAAACTTTTCATTTCAAAACAAAATATTTTTCAAAACTGCACAGACAATATTTTCGTCACTTTTCATCAAAATAAAAGTTTATATAAAATATATATTTAGAAATTGAGAATTTTATTGGTGCATTTAAAGTAGAGTATAAAGTTGGTTCAATAAGAATTTTCCCCAAGTTTGTAAAAATCTTGAATTGTATTTTATTATTCTTTAGGATTTAAACTTTTTTTATTATAGTTTAATATTATGAAATAAATATTTAAAATATTGATAATAGAATTAAAGGAAATTTAAAATTCATATAGATTGAAAAATAGTTACGACTCACAACTGTCAGATAATAAACTTCTCAAAAGTTGAAGAAATTTGGAGCGGGTACCAAAAGCTCCGTTTCGCGGAAGTGACCCAATATTTTAACGAAAAATTATATTTAATTGGTAATTTTGACTTTTTAAATTTAGAAGATTATAATTTTTTTTGTAATACTCCGTTTAAAGGAGAGCCGGATATAATTTAAAAATCAGACATTTTTTTACTTAAAAAGAATAACATTGTTCTCTTTAAAATGGTACAAAAATTACCGATTTTAATCTAAAAATGCAAATAAAACCTAGTTTTGTTTTTTCTACTCCTTGAACTTGAATTGATGATGAAACTGATAATGCTTTTTTTTTCCTTCATAACCAGTTTTTTCAATTTTACAACTAAAGATAAATGATTAGATGACTCCTAAAAAAATATAACACAATGAAATTTAGAATGTTTTACATACTTTATTTAAATTTCAATAAATGAAAAAATTTAATTTTTGATACATAACTTTTTTTAATATATTAAATATGCACTTTTAACTTTTTTTTTAAATGCACATCGAAGAAACCCTATCGATATGGAGGATTTTTATTAAAATTAAATCACAAATACCTAATATTGATATTTTCGGTTGAATCAAAAAATAAAGACTTTTTCTCTTTTTTAAGATTTTAATCTCTTTTAAGATTTTAAATTTTAGATTAAAATATCTAAGATTTTCAAGCAAACTTCGAGAATCATTGATAGGAGCAATAAATTAATTTCATTTTTGAAGCAGTTTGAAAAAGTATCAAGTAGGCTATATTGAAAATTTATAAAATTTCTCTACGTACACAATCGTAAATTTAGGAATTAAGTGACACAGCACCAACAGACTAATAGGATCTCATCACAGAAAGACAGATGAAAAATTTTATTTTTTTAGGCAGTATTTCTGATTGATCTTCGTTAATTCTGATCTTCTGCAATGTCCTTAATATAACACTCTCGCGAATAAAATACCATTAAAACTAAAAAAAAAAAAAAAAAAAAAATTAAAGAAAAAAGAAACTCTAAATTATTGTGTAACCTGCAAAAATAAGACACTGCTCATAAAAAGTTTGCTTTTAATTTTTCATTTCTCCTTCACTTAGAACTCTTTCAGATCTCCGTTGCCAACACGAGAAAAGAAACTTAATCGATTATACCACGTATCGAACCACGTATAAATAGTACAGAGCAATTCGAAAATGTGGTTTGCAATTATAATGCCTCAAGCCTTTCATATAATATAGATATATAATTTATGATAAAAATATAATTTTTATAATATTGCATGATTTATAATTTACAATCTTATTTTACAGGCATCGGTATGGACGACTCATTTGTATTATTGGCATCTTGGCGAAGAACAGATCCAAAGCTGAGCGTGGTTGACCGTCTTGGCGAAACTTATGCCGAAGCTGCAGTATCTGTTACCATCACATCTCTGACGAACTTCATTAGTTTCTGGATTGGTGCTATAACTCCGTTCCCTTCAGTTCGAATCTTTTGCATCTACACCGCTACAGCAGTCCTCTTCACCTACATCTATCAGCTCACCTTTTTTGGAGGATGTATGGCTATATCTGGCATTGCAGAAGAAAGAAGCCTGCATGCCATGTTTTGTGTGCCAACTATGCCAAAATCTCTAGCAAGTAAGTTTAAATGTTTAATTATTGAATTTTAATATCAAATTAAAAATTAAGGGATTGCGATAATTGGATACCTGCAATGGACGTCATGCTTGGGTATATCGTGGTATTTGTTAATGCTACGTTTCAGCAGCTAATCTGGTTCAACACACACGAGTGACGTCACTTGCAGGTATCCAATTAAATCTGATCCGAAAATTGATTCAGTGTGATTAAAAAAAAACTAAGCCTAATAGCTGTAACGTTTACACTTCTCAAGTTGCAAATATCCAATCCATGTCATTCATTAAAAGTAAAGCATGACCACAATAGCCCTTTGGGGCCAGGGGATAATGGTGGTTAATGCTTCATAATTTTGTGACCAGATGCATGATAACAATATGACTAGTATTGCGCACCAACCACCTTAATTTTTCATATGAGCTGCAACCTTTCTATTTGAAGCTTTGTTGGTTTCAAGTCTCAACCGAGGATCGAACCCCAGCACTTTAAAATGGCAGCTTATCGACTTACTCACCATGCGATTGCGGCTCTAATTGCTTCTAATAAAATTTTCATATTTACGGATGAAAAGTTACCTCAGAGACATTTGACAATTGCTTATATCAAACATTCGTATACAAGGTGTTCTGTAATATCCGCCCTTCATACATTTTTTTAGAATTTTGGATTTTTGAATATTTCTGTATTTATAATAGAGATTTTGAAATAGTATTTATGAGGGGAAAATAACGAAAATCTTGAACGAAAAGCGATTATAGAGAACAAGATTTGAGTTTTAATATTTTTAAAAATAACGGATCTAATATTTTTGTACACAATGTTAAAATGAATGAAAAATACTGTTTTACACATCTTATACGCAAAAATAAAGAAATAAAACAGGACAATAACAAAATGAGTAGTAACAAACAACAAAACGAGAACAATAATAAATAGAACGCGAGAGAGGAAGATATAAAATATAAGTTTTGCTAATAAGAACAGTTTTGAATCTTTTGCCCAACTATGTTGCTTGTTTCATTACTTGAAAATGAAGTGGTGACATTTTTCATACCTTTAAACCTTTCAAACCGTAACTTTTTAAAATAAGCAATTAAGATTGTGAAAAATACAAGGGAGGGGGGCAATTAATTTCCCGGACTGCTCTAATAACTCCTGAAAATATGCTAATTACATAACCATTTAATGTCTTTCAAAATAAAGTCCCGAAATACTCTTCTGTATTAAACTTCAAAACTTTCAAGTTCTTATTTCGAAACGCTTTCTAATTCTGACGATCTTAATGACTTCGTCATTCTTAAATCTTCTTTCTTCAGCAAATTGATTAGTTTTGAAGAAGCATATTGCGAAAGGCGAAGGTAATTTTGAAGCAGATTAAATGAATATGCTATTCACATAATATTTTTAAGAGTTATTAAATCAGTCCTTAAAATTAATGGTCACGAATAAAATTTTTGAGCAAATATTTAGCAATACGATTGCTTTAGTTCCCTTCTAATTCAAGCTCTATAATCTTTTATACGGGTTCAGCGCTTGAGTTCAATTTGAAATTTCGAAGCCATTTTCGTTTTCTGAAATCACCTGCCTTGGGAAATGAGGGCATTTGCATTTTTTTTCTCGATCGCTTATCTAGGAATAATCTTTCATAGCATTTTTTATGTTAGAAAAAGAGAAGAAAAAAAACTTATGCATTATTCTTAGGCAGTATAATATATCCTGGATTTATAGAGGTACAGAAAATTTTACCGAATATAGGCAATTTTTTTTTCATTGAAAAAATATACATAGTTCTATGAATGCACATTTACCTCTCATATAACTCGAAAATTTGTAATCTTTTATACTCTGTGGATAACAAATAAAAGATAATAATAAAAAAATTTCGTATCATACTTTGTTTATTTAGTTAGCCCGAATTATGGATATAATGATGCATAAATAAACTCAATATAATTACGTTGTGCACATAATTACTGATAATGATGTAAAATTGTGTGTTAACTATTACAGATAACCTTTGCACGCTTTCTAAAATTTATTCAAATAGAGGTGTTATTAATTGATTCTATATTACTTAAACTCCATTCTTTTGAACCAAAATTTATTTCTAAATTTATCCTTAAACTCTGTCGAACCCATTATTCCTTTACAGTTCAAAACAGTTTTCTATTTCACAATTAAAACTTTTAATTTGCATCTAAAGACTATTTTAATTTGCTTCTAAACAATACTTCAATTTGTTTCTAAAAACTATTTTAATTTGTTTCTAAAGACTATTCTAATTTGTTTCTAAAGACTATTCTAATTTGTTTCTGAAGACTATTCTAATTTGTTTCTGAAGACTATTCTAGTTTGTTTCTAAAGACTATTCTAATTTGTTTCTAAAGACTATTCTAATTTGTTTCTAGAAACTATTTTAATATGTTTCTAAAGACTATTCTAATTTGTTTCTAGAAACTATTTTAATTTGTTTCAAAAGACTATTCTAGTTTGTTTCTAAAGACTATTCTAATTTGTTCCTAAAGACTATTTTAATTTTCTTCTAAAGACTATTTTAAATTTCCTTATAAAAACTATTTTAATTTGTTTCTAAACACTACTTCAATTTGTTTCTAGAAACTATTTTAATTTGTTTCTTAAGACTATTCTAGTTTGTTTCTAAAGACTATTCTAATTTGTTTCTAAAGACTGTTCTAATTTGTTTCTAAAGACTAGTCTAATTTGTTTCTAAATAATTTGTTTCTAAAGACTAGTCTAATTTGTTTCTAAAGACTAGTCTAATTTGTTTCTAAAGACTATTCTAATTTGCTGCTAAAGACTATTCTAATTTGCTGCTAAAGACTATTCTAATTTGCTGCTAAAGACTATTCTAATTTGCTTCTAAAGACTATTCTAATTTGTTTCTAAAGACTATTTTAATTTGTTTCTTTCTATTGATCGATACCTAAATTTAATTACAATGGTTCAATTTTTAAATGAATCTGTTTTTATGATACTTTGATGATACCCGATCTTTAACTAAACAGAGACTTGTTTCTGTTGTTTCAAATCATATTGAGATCATATAAATTTATAAATGGATTACAAGCTACTTGGATCAAAAAAGGTAAGAAATGTTCCTTTATTTTTTTTTTAAACCTAAAACTTTTGTATACTTTTAAAAATTTTGACATAAGAAATTATTTAAACCCTAAATCTTAAAACCTCATGATACCGATGAATTGTTCAAAGTTATGAACAAACAGAATGATCAAATATCTTTTACGAAACAGAACTAATTTTTTGTAAAATTCTTATTTTTATTTTAAATTTTTTACTGTGGTGCTGATGAGATTGTGAACACATTATTATTTAAAAACAGTTTGATTTTAGTTCTCTTATTCGTGGAGCTCCAATCCTATTTGCGTCATAATTTAAAAAAGTGATGCTTTTATTTTCCACTTTAATTTAAATATTTTGGCTTTATTCTAAATCATCCAAAGTTGATTAAGAATTAAAAAAAATAGAGTTAACAGAAATCAAAAATTTGACCAATAATGCAAGATAGCGAAAGTGCACCCTATTTCGATAGTCGATAAATTAGACTCAACCCAAGAACTTCCGGATCCCGCCTTAGCACGGATCAAATTAGTAGTCCAACGTTACAAACATAAACTCCGCAGTGGAGGAAAAATAAGAAAGATGTCACTGCGTTCGGGTTACTAAGCTGCGCAGAGGGGGAAATTACGAAAGATTGCATTATGCTTGGGCTACTAAAGGGCCAAATTTCGTGTCTATGATAACCCGTGCTGAGGCTTTCTCTCTTCTAGGTGTATTGCTCGACGCCGCTTAAGGTTTTAAACAAGGAAAACCGCGGCTCGTCATGGCACACGTTTGCCCCAGGAGATTAGGGTTAATTAGGGTAAAATAATTTAAAATTTGTTTGTAAATTTTTTAAATAAATTACAAAATTGATAGAACAATAAGCAGTGATTAAAACATTTTTCATTAAAAGAAAAAATGTCCAACTATCGAAATATCCAGTTTTTATGGAAAAACTGGATATCTGGTGTAAAATTAAAATTTAAGCAAATTTCAAAAATTTTTGTTCCTAGAGCTATTGTTTCGATTTTTACTGCATCCGAATTGATAGCGAACAAAATCTGTGTTCCTAATTTCTTTAATTTAAAAATTAGATTAAAAATTATTTTTTTCAAATACATCGCGTAACATTAATTCCCTCTGATCAAATAATAAAACCAGGTTAAATGTCTAGACAAACAACAAATAATCACGTCTTTTCTTTTAAATATTAGTTTGACATGTTTATTATCATTGAAAAAATTAAATGCTGTTTTTCCGTGATAATGTGCAAGCTATTGGATATTCTAACACAAAATATCACGCACAGTACTTTTAATCATAATAAGCTGAACCTGATTTTTTTTTTTTTTTGAACAAACAAATTGAAATGTTTTTGGGTGGATTAATTTTTTTTCTTTTCTGGATGTTAATGTTGGGAGATAATGGACTATTAAAGTCCATTTTATTTAAAGTCTTAATACATTCAGAATCACACAAAACTCCCATAAACACATTTCTTTACTTTTCTAAGAGTGCTAATTATTAAGTTATCGAAAAACGCTTCCTTACGTTTTCATCTCAAACGGGTAGTCACGTGATTATTTACAAACTGACGTCACCTGTGCTCATCTGCCGTTTGCTTACAATCCGTTTGCTTACAATTACTGTCATGAAAGCCATCGTGTTCTATCTTTTGTTTGAATTTTCGTAATTTAATCCAACTGTTTTAGATTGCAAATAAGCATATCAGAATTAAGGTATGAATAACCAATTATGCTCTTGTGCAGCCTAATGATATAACGTATTTTTAAATTATCATTAAATTTCAATGGTATCCACTGAAACATTGTTAATAGACGAAATTCTTTAGCTATGAGTATTTGAGAATTTTTAGCTCTATAAAAAGGCGTAAAATGAATTATGGATATTACTTATTT